TTGACAACCAGATTGAACACGTGAGCCATGCATGGCACAACCTTCCTTGACGCAGAGCAGACACCATGTTCTTTCCGTTGTCGTCAACATGGTTCCGATTTTCAGTTTGCGCGGAGACAAAAGCCATCTGTCGATTTCTCTGTTCATTACACTCAGAAGTTCCTCCCCTGTGTGACTACGTTCGCCAAGGCATACCAGGTGCAGCACAGCATGACACCGTTGCGCCCTGCAAATGTGATATGCCGGGTCCGGGTAATGGGACTTGGCACGGGGGTGGCGGCTGAGGACACGGCGGAAGAAGAGTGGTAGAGGCGGACATGTTTGCTGGACCAAGGACGTGCAAACGTGGAGGCAAAAGCGTCGTGACCTGTTCCAAGTTGCTGGTGCGGCTGTGCCGGCACCACGTTCACCCCAGTGGGCCGTAAATTGACATGTACTGTCCATGACCGTAGTTACAGCTCCACACGTCGGCGCTGCCAGGTGCACTTTGGCAGAGACCGACATGCTCAAAGACTGGCCCACCATCTCTTCTACATGTGAATGCAGGGCTGGCACTGCCTTTTTGGCGAAGAAATGCCGGCTTGGCACTCTCCACCGCGGCGCGCACAAGCCATCATTTCTCACAGAGGTGCTGAGTCCACCAGTTTGGAAAGGGAGGGACTGCAGCACCAGCAACTTGGACAGGAGGACGTTCAGCTTTTGCACCGTCGGGTGCGTGCTCGCAAACTGTTATGTCTCTCTTGGAAACGGATTCCAAGAAAGACTGCTGACGGAATCCGTGAAGAGGAGTAGCAGGAGAAGGAGCATCTGAACGAGCGGAAGATGCCAACGAGCGACAACTCCCCTCAGCAGAGGTTATGGAGCCTTGACTGGCTGATAGAGGGCGATGACGTCGGGTGACGGAGCAAGTAACGGAGCGGGTGATGGAGCGGGGGCTGGGGCAGGCAATAACCGCCGTATCTTTATCACGGTTTTCCCAGGCCACCAAATGGCGACGCTGCATATGCTGACGCAACGCTGTAGTCCCAACATGGGACCCCCTGGCCACGCTTGACTTTCTGGCCACAATAGTCGACATACGGCTACGTTTACTTCCTCGGCGGCTTGACGAAAAATTGCCACACCACCGAGTAGAAACTTTGCCCCCGCTACTCCTCACTGGCTGACTGCTACTTCCTCCGTGCACACCGGCACCACTACTGGCCGTGGTGGTAGGCTGCAGTGGAGCTGGTGCTCTACTCCGTGTGCCGTTTGGCTCCACTGACACTGCTGCGACCCTGCTGCCTCCTGGGCAACCCACCGACTGTTTCGCTCGCTGCCAAGCTGGCACCCTCTTCTCCTGATGATGCGGAAGAAATTGCCTGATGACGACGAGGCTGCCAAGTGCGATCAACCTCCTCATCATCAAGTAGGGGACCTCCGCCTCACTACTAGCCCCCTCGGCTTGCGTCTGGGTCAGGTAGACAGACCTGTCTCTAGACCGGCTACCGAGCCACTCTCCTCGCCAGTACTTCTTCGCCTGGCTGCTGAAAAGGCGGATGTCTCCCCCCCGTTCCTGACCGCCCTCTGTTAGCTCTTCCTCACTGTACAGTGGGGCTGAGCCCACAGCATGCGATACTTTGCTTGGTTGAGGGAACAGCAAAGGACAAGGGGCAGGTAGAGACACGTGATTTCAGTGGGCTTGCTCCCCGAGCCATGCCAACATAACGGTTGTGTCTGACGTACACACCGAGACCGTTGGCCTGTAGGTGTCAGAGTAGTGTGACCTGGGAAGAGGAAGATGACCGAGCCAACCAATCGATGACGGCAGGGTTGTCGGTGGAGACACGACCGCTGGATGACACCGGGAGCACTGGCCTCTGGCTGCGACTAGTGCTAGCCTCGACCCCTTCCTCTGCTGCCGACGTCTGCTCGCTCCTAAAACTATTGACCTCCTTCTGCCACTCCTCTGCATGTTGTCTGATATACTCTATAATTCAATCGATTCGGGGCCCCTGAGTAACAATTCTGTGCGGTGTCCCTCAGTTAAACAATTCTGTGGTCTGTCCCTGAGTAACACACTGAGTGCGCCTGAGGTAAACAATTGAATGTGTCCCTCAGTAACAATTCTAAGTCCGAGTACGTTTCTGTGGCCCAAAGTAATGGTTCTGTGGCCCTCCGTAACAATTCTGTGTCCTCAGTAACAATTCAGTGTTCTTCCCTGAGTTACAATTTCTGTGGCCCTAAGTAACGTTTTCTTGTAGGCCTCTAAGTAATGGTTCTGTGGCCCTCATTATCAATTCTTTTTCCCCTGAGTAACGTTTTCAGTGGGACCTAAGTAACGGATTCTGTGTCCCTCAGTAACAATTCTGTGTCCCTCAGTAACAATTAAGTCTGTGTCTACTGTGTCTTGTGCCCTGAGTAACAATTCTGTGTTCCCTAAGTAACGTTCTCTGTGTCCCTGCCCTAAGTATATAACGGTTCTGTGGCCCTCAGAACAATTCTGTGGGTCCGAGTAACGTTTCTGTGGCCCCCCCCCACACGGTTCGTGGCCTCTGGAGTAACAATTCTGTGTCCCTCAGTAACAATTATGGTGTCCCCTGAGTAACAATTCTGTGGTCCCTCACTGTAACAATTCCCCGCGTGTCCCCTCAGTAACAATCCCTCAGTAACAAATTCTGTGTCTGTCCCTGAGTAACAATTCTTTCCCTAAGTAACGTTTCTGTGGCCCTAAGTAAACGGTTTCTGTGGCCCTCAGTACCTAATTTTGTGTCCCCTGAGTAAACGGTACTCTGTGTTTCTGCCCCTATCCGTAACGGTTCTGTGCCCTCAGTAACATTCTGTGTCCCTGAGTAAGGGGGCACAATTTCTGTGGTCTGTCCCTGATTAAACAAATTTCTGTGGCCCTAAGTAACGGATTCTGTGGCCCTCAGTAACAATTCTGTGTCCCTGAGTAAACAATTGTACTGTGGCTAAGTGGTTCTGTGGCCAAACAATCTGTGTTTCTGTGGCCCTGAGTAACAATTCTGTGTCTAAGTAAAGTTTCTGTAGTTTATGTTCTGTGGCCCTCAGTAACACATTCTGTGTCCGTAACGTTTCTTCTGTTGCCTAACAAGTGGCCCTCTGTGGCCCCTCTGGAGTAACGATTCTGTATGTCCCCTCTCAGAAACAATTCTGTTCTGTCCTGAGTAACAATTCGCTAAGTGTGTGGCCCTAAGTAACACTGGTTCTGTGTCCCTCAGTAACAATTCTGTGTCCCTCAGTAACATTTCTGTGGCCCTAAGTAAAGGTTCTGTGTCCCTGAGTAACAATTCTGTCTCTGTCCCTGAGTAACAATTCTGTGTCTTCCCTGAGTAAACAATTTCTGTGGCCCTAAGTAACCGTGTTCTGTGGTCCCTCAGTAACAATTCCTGTGTCCCTGAGTAACAATTCTGTGCCCCTAAGTAAAGGTTTCTGTGGCCCTCAGTAACAATTCTGTGTCCATGAGTAACAATTCTGTGGCCCTAAACTATTCAGTAACGGTTCTGTGGCCCTCAAGTAACAATTCTGTGTCCCCTCAGTAACAATTCTGTGTCTGTGGCCCTCCTGTGTCCCTGGTAACAATTCTGTGTGTCCCTAGTAACGGTTCTGTGGGCCCTCAGTAACAATTCTGTGTCCCTGAGTAACAATTCTGTGGCCCTAAGTAACGGTTCTGTGGCCCCAGTAACAATTCTGTGTCCCTCAGTAACAATTCTGTGTCTGTCCCTGAGTAACAATTCTGTGGCCCTAAGTAACGGTTCTGTGGGCCCTCAGTAACCAATTCTGTGTCCCTGAGTAACAATTCTGTGGCCCTAAGTAACGGTTCTGTGGCCCTCAGTAACAATTCTGTGTCCCTCAGTAACAATTCTGTGTCTGTCCCTGAGTAACAATTCTGTGGCCCTAAAGTAACGGTTTTAACTTTCTGTGGCCCTCAGTAACAATTCTGTGTCCCTCATAACAATTCTGTGTCCCTGAGTAACAATTCTGTGGCCCTAAGTAAAACGGTTCTGTGGCCCTCAGTAACAATTCTGTGTCCCTGAGTAACGTTTCTGTGGCCCTAAGTAACGGTCTGTGGCCCTCAGTAACAATTCTGTGTCCCTGAGTAACAATTTCTGTGGCCCTAAGTAACGGTTCTGTGGCCCTCAGTAACAATTCTGTGTCCCTGAGTAACAAATACAATTCTGTGTCTGTGTCCTGAGTAACAATGTTCTGTGGCCCTAAGTAACGGTTCTGTGGCCCTTAGTAACAATTCTGTGTCCTGAGTAACAATTCTGTGGCCCTAGTAGTAACAATTCTGTGTCCCTCAGTAAAGTAATTCTGCAGTCCCTCTGTCCCTGAGTAACAATTCTGTGGCCCTAAGTAACGGTTTTCTGTGGCCCTCAGTAGACAATTTCTGTGTCCTGTCCCTGAGTAACAATTCTGTGGCCCTAAGTAACGTTCTGTGGCCCTCAGTAACAATTCTGTGTCCTCTGGAGTAAACATATCTGTGGCCCTAAGTTAAACGGTTCTGTGGCCCTTAGTAACAATTCTGTGTCCCGGAGTAACAATTCTGTCTGTCCCTGAGTAACAATTCTGTGTCCCTAAAGTAAAGTTTATGTGGCCCTAAGTAACGGTTTCTGTGGCCCTCAGTAACAATTCTGTGTCACGAGTAACGTTTTCTGTTGGCCCTAACTCTGTCCCTAATACAGAGAGGTCTGCCTCTCTTGAATGACTGGAGGCAAATGGAGAATTCTAAAATGGCCGCCATTTATAGCTCGACCATTACACAGTGCTGGCTGGCTGGCTGGCTGCTGATTGGCTAATGCGATCACAGTCATTAATGAATGCATTATGGGTCAGCGCGCCTTGTCTGCGCGCCTTCCAGACATCCCCGCTCCGTTGCCGCACATGTCGCCGCCATTTTAGGAAAAATTTTGATTTGCGCACACCGAAGTATGCTAATTTTCGGATTCGGCGCGAATTAAAATTTTTCCAATATTCGAAACGAATTCCACTTCGCCTACTTCGATTCGCTCATCTCTAGTGAGTACCATCGTTACCGACAGATTAGACACTTTTTTGAATCACATTTTGGCCTTATACCGTCTTCTCCGGTTTCCTTTTTTGAACGTACCAGCCGTGACTCTCCCAGGGGAAGGGGTCTTATTTCTAATTTTTAGCACCAATCTTTACTTTGTCTTTTTCATACACCTCCTTTATACCGACAAAGGTGGGAGGAGGATAGTGGTACCACTTTTTTGGATGAGGATTGGGATTCCATGGTGGATAATACCTGTAAAAGCTCTCGATCTCTTTCTGTTCGTGAAACGGCCCTTAAGGTTTTTTTTTTTTTTTTTTTTTTTTTTTTTATTTATTCCATAAAAGTTTATTTAGAAGTGACAACATGTTACAGGAAAATATAAAGAAATGCACATACAGCATCAATCAGGTCATAGTTACAAGCTTTAAACCAAAATACAGGAAGAAACAACATGGTAGAGTGCGACACTGTGGATAACATAAGCATGGCAAATTACGGCAGAGATAGGCCTGTAGTACTCAAGGTTCAAAAATGTACAATAGAGAAGGTAATAACAGCTTACTTCCACCAAGTGAATATCGGCGTACTGGCCTATGCATGGAGGAAATGAACCTTCAGAGCCTAAACCAAAAGCAGTACGCTATCATGAGGCCAAATGAGCATCGCAGTATAAGAGAAGATGTCATGAGTACCATTGACTATCTAGAAGAGATAAGCTAACCATATACCAAGTAATCCTGGATAAAATGAAGACTAAGCCTGATCGAAGACTAAGAGGTTGTCGAGAAAGAAAAGAAAAAAGGGGAATAGAAAGAAAGAAGAAAAGGATAAGAAAAGGAAAAGAAGGGGAGTCATAGTAGATAGAGAGAAGAGAAATAAGGGAAAAAAAAAAAAAAAAAAGGGGGGGGGGGGGGGGAAGCAAGGGAAGCGAAAGGTCCAGGCTGCGAAATTTGTGTCAACAGTGTTAATGGAGATCAGAAATGAGAGTGTCAAGAATTTAAACACACACCATAGCTAAGCAGGCAAATATAAATTACCGGAAAGGAGGTCATAACCACGCAGATCAGGAAAGAACCAAGGGCATAACCAGAGGTAGGGCTGAGCTCAATCAGGTATCCCGACCCATGAGAGATCCGAATTCAGGGGTAGTTACAAAGTGGGTCCAGCAGGCCCAAACATGTGAGTATTTAGTTGGCATGTCAAGTGCAGTCGCAATCAGTTCCTCCATTTCCGCCACTTTGCTTATTCGATTGAGCCAATCGCGTGTAGTTGGGGGGTGAGTGGAGCCCCATAGCACAGGAAGACAGAGTCTGGCTGCGTTGATCATATGCATCGCTAGGGACTTGAAATATTGACTCCTAGGAATGGGGGTATGATGAAGCAATAGCTGAGCAGCAGAGAAAACTATGGGCAAAGTGGTCACTGAAGTCACCAACCGGTGGACCTCCAGCCAGAATGGTTGAATAAGTGGACAGGACCACCAAATATGCAAGAAAGAGCCATCAGGTGTCCCACATCTCCAGCACACGTCAGGGACAGAAGAGTTAAACAGATGAAGTCTGGAGGGAGTACGATAACATCTAGTGGCTAATTTGTAGCCATTTTCCTGCGTCGAGACATTACTCGAGCAGTAGTGGGAGTACATAAAAATGCGGTCCCAATCCGACTCCGATAAATCCGTCTTTAGGTCTCTATTCCACGCACGGCAAGAGGGGAAAGAAGTGCAAGTCCTGCTGTCCCCTAGGAGAGGATAAATCTCAGAGATCAAATGCGTCCGTGGTTCGGATTTAGAGCATAAGGATTCAAATGGAGTAACAGGGCGAGTCCAATTATGGCGGGATTTATGGAAAAGCAGGAAATGTCTAATCTGAAGAAAGGCCCAGAGAGGGAATTCGCGGATATTCAAGCTAACCTTCAGCTCCTGTAATGTTTTCACCTTGCCGGAGTGAAGAAAATGTTTTACTATAATCTGATCGTGTGGCCAGTAATTTGATAAAAAATCCTTGTGCAACCCTGGGGGAAAATCTGGATTCAGGCGGAGCGACGTCAAGGGACTAGGAGAGTCTGAAACGGACGACGTTTTACAAGCCTTGCGGAAAACTTCTAACGTGGGACCTATCAAAGGATGGGAGAGGAGAACCTGAGGTGTGTGTTTCGGCAATAGCCAAGGGATCGATGGTAGGGGAGTGGGCAAAAAAGCCTTCTCCAAAAGGACCCAGTCTTTGGAAGCAGAATGAATGTGCCAGTCGACTATGCGGGAAAGATGACACGCCCAGTAATAGCGGGGTAGGTCAGGGAGCCCAATGCCCCCGCTGAGTTTGGGACGAGTTAGCTGAGAGAACGAGACCCGCGGACGCTTGTGATGCCATAAAAAGAATGAACATAGTTTCTTACAAGAAGCAAAGAATGTCATTGGAAGTAGAATTGGCAAAGTTTGGAAGAGATAGAGGAGACGCGGAAGTATATTCATTTTAATAATTGCAGCCCTACCAAACCAAGAGAAGCAGGGGTGATGCCACTTGTTTAGGTCTTCCTGTATGACTTTGAAAACCGGTAAGAAATTTTTGGCATAAAGGTCGTCCAGATTACGGCCCTTAAGGTTTTAACTAGATGGTATTATACCCCATCAAGACTACACAGATTGTTTCCACAAACGTCCCCTCTATGTTTTCGGGGCTGTGGCCTTACAGGCACTTTGGTGCATATATTTTGGGATTGCCCGTCCATATCTTTGATTTGGTGCAGGATATCTGAGGTGGCACCTCACTGGCGGGTTCCCCAGTACGCTTATCTATACAGACCTGTCTATTGGGGGCTCATATCCCGGGGGTCCCTGATGCCATTATGAGATTGATACATACTATATGTATTGCCACTTTATGGTCTATTGCCTTACACTGGAGGTCCAATGTTGTACCTTTGGCCTCCATTCTACACAGAATTGATGCAGTAATGCTCATGGAACGCATTCATTATACTCTGCTGGATAAGATGCACTTATTTGATAAAAAATGGGAGTCATGGAGGGATTATAGACATTTACTGCATGATTAACAACATTTCCAGTGAAAAATGACTGAAAAATACTGTTGACAGATGTATCATTCAACTTATCTTATCATTAACGTATTTCATGTACTTGCAATCTACTTTTCTTCTGTTTCTTCTCTTTCTTACTATAATATACTTTTCTGAATTGTACTTTTCAAAAGTGCCTTGTTTTTGCTGTAAATATTATTTGAAAATGTGCTTTTGTTTCACTGTCTACTTATATTCAATAAAATTGTTTGTAAACAAACAAAAAAAAAAAAAAATAGAACTGTTTGGTAGAAACACAACTCGTTGTGTTTGGAGGAAAGAGAGTTGCATCCAAAGAACACCATACCTACTGTGAAGCATGGGGGTGGCAACATCATGCTTTGGGGTTGTTTCTCCGCAAAGGGACCAGGACGACTGATCCAGGTACAGGACAGAATGAATGGGGCCATGTATCATGAGATTTTGAGTGCAAACCTCCTTCCATCAGCAAGGGCATTGAAGATGAAACGTGGCTGGGTCTTCCAACATGACAATGATCCCAAACATATCGCCTGGGCAACGAAGGAGTGGCTTCGTAAGAAGAATTTCAAGGTCCTGGAGTGGCCTAGCCAGTCTCCAGATCTCAACCCCATAGAAAACCTTTGGAGGGTGTTGAAAGTCCGTGTTGCCCAGCGACAGCCCCAAAACATCACTGCTCTAGAGGAGATCTGCATGGAGGAATGGGCCAACATACCAGCAACAGTGTGTGCCAACCTTGTGAAGACTTACAGGAAATGTTTGACCTCTGTCATTGCCAACAAAGGATATATAACAAAGTATTGACATGAACTTTTCGTATTGACTAAATACTTATTTTCCACCATAATTTGCAAATAAATTCTTTCCAAATCAGCCAATGTGATTGTCTGGATTTTTGTTTCTCATTTCGTCTCTCATAGTTGAGGTCTACCTATGATGCCAATTACAGGCCTCTCTCAAGTGGGAGAACTTGCACAATTGGTGGCTGACTAAATACTTTTTTGCCCCACTGTATAACAGTGCAGAATTGGGATAAGAGGACCTGTCATGTTATTATGGACAGGATTGGGGTAAGAGGACCTGTCATGTTATTATAGACAGGATTGGGGTAAGAGGACCTGTCATGTTATTATGGACAGGATTGGGATAAGAGGACCTGTCATGTTATTATAGACAGGATCTGGGTAAGAGGACCTGTCATGTTACTATGGAAAGGATCGGGATAAGAGGACCTGCCATGTTATTAAGGACAAGAATGGGGTAAGAGAACCTGTCATGTTGTTATGGACAGGATCGGGGTAAGAGGACTCCTGTAACATAAATGTAAGATTTGGATAGCTGAGATGTGATCAGTAGAAATGTCATTGTATTTCTAGCTTAGTTCCATGTTATTAAAGATAACAAGTTAAGTGATCATTATTCAGTCAGAGACATATGTTCACCAATTAGCATCTGAAAGGACAGCAGCTTCTAGACTGGAGGTGACACCTAGATGCCAATAAAACGTTGTCACCTATGTAGTCACAGTTTGCCACCTTCTAGAAATCTAAAAAGAAGAGCTCTAGCCTTTCGACTTTGGTAAGCAGCGGGAGACCAGGGGAGGGCTCCGATCTGTCTGGGTGCTATAACTTATATCAGCAGATCAAAGGAAAATATTTAATCTCTCATGAAAGCTAAAATATTAGTTGCAGAGATGAAAATACTTCCTTCTGTTTGGACACACTGTAGGGTACATCTGCATGTAAAACTGTATTTGTAGCCTATGTAGAATCCCAGAGAAAAGCAGAAAACAGTTGTATGGTGCCTGATTGCGACAACTGAACAACGACTGATACTGTCACGATTGGACTGATGGACTGGTGTCAGAAATTCTATCCCTGGCTTGGTGATTCAAACTGTTCCTGGTTCAATTGAATTTGGGCACTTCAGTAGCCAGAATGTCCTGTGGGCTGGAACAGAAACACCCCCCCCAGGGTTGATTGGCCAAGGATTAATGTCCAGCCCAGGGGCGGACTGACAACTCATGGGACCCCCGGGCAAAAGGGGATCTTTGTCCAAACTCAAAAAAGCCTATGAAAAAAGCACCAGGGGCATCTCATGGGGCCCCCTACTGACCCCGGGCCCCTCGGGCAGTGCACGAGTTTCCAAATGGTCAGTCCGCCCCTGGACTCCTACGTCCATATCTCAATAAATTGAGGACCCTGAGATATGGACGGGGTGATTCGTACGGAGCCGATTCTATTTGACTGGCGAATCATGGACTTTCTCTGACTTGCTCCAGTCGCAGGATAACTCTTGGTAAACGTTTTATTTCTTTTTTTATTCCCTTTTATTTTATAGTCATTTTGCATTTTCGGTAATTGTTTTATTCTTTGTACATCTTTGTACATATTTTATGCACTGCCCACTGCCAATTAGGCAATTACCCAATTATACAATGGAGGCAATATATCAATGAAGAAACGTACATAAATGGAAAATGACTGGTGAATGACTGTGTACCAGGGCCTGGCTCTAGTGGCTCTCTGGAGTCAAGGCCTGGAGAAGAGTTTAAAGTCACAGAGGACTCTGCAACTGACAATGTGTTATGTGATGCTAAATGTAATGACATGGGCAAGGCAGACCTTCTCTTTGCTGCAGTGGTGACTAGTGGTGCCCACCAGTTGGCCCTGGACCAGTCATTGCCACTGCTACAGAGGAACTGTCTATGGAAGGGCCCAATCTAGCTGGGTTGGACACTTGTGAACCTGGCCCAGAGGGCCTAAGGTCTCCTTAGTCTGTTGTTCACCTGGCACCTGTGGCAGATAGCTCTGAGTCCCCTGAGGCTGAAAAAAATTGATGGCAGCCCAGAGGATTTCAGAGGTCTGGCTGAAGGACCGCCAGCGGTGAATGGCAGGATGAGGCTGTATGGTCAACAGGAATTTGGTTTCGCACCCATTTGTAAAGAAACAGACTGTTCTTCTAAAGTTCCCGGGGAAAAGGCACATTGTGTTTTAGTAAGTCCTGGTAAAGACTAGTGTTGTGTGCCTCTCCCCTTGTGGGATGAAGTTTTCTTTTGTTTGCTCCCCTGTCACCACAGATTCCAGTAATGCCATTTTGGATCCTGGGCTGTGGAGCACAGAGGAGAGACCACAGGGTGAGTGTTTAAATCTGACTCTACTCTCTCAGTAGCTGTGGCTGACAGCACTGAGTTTCCAGAGGCTGTTACATTTGATGCCAGCCCAGAGGAACTCAGGAATCTGACAGACGCTCTGCTGAGGAAGTGGTAGAAGTGTGTGATGTGGGTCGGAGGACAACCCCTGGTGGAATCCTTTCTCCTGTAACTTTCCCCTCGTGGGTGCTGCCAGTGCAGACTCATTTCTCTTTGTTGCAGAGGGAAGTCTACAGGATGTTGAGGCAAATTCAGCCCAATCAGTGTCTTCCACCTCAGAAGCTGCAGCTGACATCGCTGAGTACTTCCAGGCTGATAAGTTTGATGTTGTCCCAGAGGAGCTCAGGTGTTGTGCTGACAGATGTTCTGCTGAGGAGGACAGAGTAGAAGGGTGTGGTACGGGTCAGAGGATGATCCCTGGTGGAACAAAGTCTTCTGTGGATTTATCCTTTGTCCCCACAGCTATGAGTATCATGACTGAGGATTCATTGCTGTGCACAGCAAAGGGAGGATCACAGGATGATGGGGGAACACTGACCCCTTCAGAATCTGCATTCTCAGAGACTGCGTCTGACAACCCTGCATTCTTGCAGGCTGATAGGTTTGATGTCAGCCCGGAAAAACTTAGGGATTGCGCTTACCAGTTTCTGGCTGAAGGAGAAAGAGCAGAAGTGTGGGAGACAGGTCAGAGGATGGAGGCTCTGGTATCCAAGCCATGGAACCAGGTCCAGATCACCCAGGAACGACCTTATGCCAGGCTCAAGCATCTGGGTGTTGAAGCTAATACAGAACCACCAGATGACCATGGCCAGTGGCTGAAGATGAAGACAGCACACAATGACAGGTTTGCCTGTGCACTTCAAGTAGGTAGTCAGTGGCCAATGGATTAAGGGGATCCGCAGGGCGATCTGCTGGCCAGTACCCTTTAGGATCAGTCAGAGAGCTGTACAGAAGCCCTCTCCTATCAGCAGGGGGACAGGCTGAAATGTCAACGGTGCCAATCTTTAGCTGGGAGAACTTTTACCCCCCAACCTAGGAAACCTTCTTGGCAGATGTGTTAGCCAACCCGTTTAGGCTCAGCTATGCGTCATGTAGAAGGGGGGAGATGTAACATAAATGTAAGATTCGAGTAGTTGAGATGTGATCAGTAGAAATATGTAATTGTATATCTAGTTTAGTTCCATGTTATTAAAGATAACAAGTCAAGTGATCATTATTCAGTCAGAGACATATGTTCACCAATTAGCATCTGGAAGGACAGAGCAGCTTCTAGACTGGAGGTGACACCTGGATGCCAATAAAACGTTGTCACCTATGTAGCCACAGTTTGCCACCTTCTAGAAATCTAAAAAGAAGGGCTCTAGCTGTTTTGGCTTCGGTAAAGAGCAGGAGACCAGGGAAGGGCTCCGATCTGTCTGGGAGCTATAACTTATATCAGCAGATCAAAGGAAAATATTTCATCTCATGAAAGCTAAAATATTAGTTGCAGAGAGATGAAAATACTTCCTTCTGATTGGCCATACTGTAGGCTACATCTGCATGTAAAACTGTATTTGTAGCCTATGTAAAATACCAGAGAAATGCAGAAAACGGTTATATGGTGGCTGATTGCGACAACTGAACAGCGATTGATACTGTCATGATTGGACTGATGTGCTGGTGTCAGAAATTCTATCCATAGACTTGGTGATTTAAACCGTTCCTGGTCCAATCAACTTTGGGCACTTCAGTACCCAGAACGTCCTGTGGGATGGTACAGGAACACCCCCCAGGGTTGATTGGCCTAGGGCTAATGTCCAGCCTACATCCATATCTCAATAAATTG